TGGGCAAAGGAAGCTTGGCTAAGTACCTAACAATAAGTTAGTCTAGTCTGTGGGAGCACGTTACTTCCACCAGAGCAGACGCCTATATCCTTCAGAGGGTCATCTGCGGGTATCTTACTGCAGCATGACTGCAGCCTCTCAGATTTTGTTTCAAAGTCTCAATTTGCTCAAAAAGAAAAAAAAAAAAAACAACCACCAAAATGAACAGCAAATCTTCTCTCACATTTGATCATCTGGAAATCACCTACCCACTCAAGAGATAGCAAAGGCAGGGAAAGCCGGAGATAACTTCCAGCTGGACAGATAAATGCTTTGCTCTTTTAAAGATTTTTGCAACCTGTTGATGTAGTAACTGTATGCATTGCAGGCCAAGACTAAGCTGTTGCCATGGGACTGCCATGGTCAGGTGATCACATGAGCTAATCACAATGCAGAAGCTTCTCTCACTCTTTAAGGCCGACTTAGTTAACTGGATTTCGCAGTGCGATCAGAAATATAGGAGGTAAGAGGGTGGGGGGTAATGCATGTCCCTCTTTCAGCAATGATGTTTCTGGTAAGATTTAGGTAGGTAAGGAAACACTGATGTCCCCATCCTCCAAAGATAACCGCTTGTCCAGAATACGAATGCTGCCCCTGTGAGTCATTCCCACTCGCAGGAGAAGCATCCAAGAGGGAGGGAGCAGCATCTCACCCAGATATGCTGCAGGTCTTTGCTGTTGACAGGATAGAGGATGCAGTTGGTTCCTACCAGCTTCACAGCACACTCTATGTTTACATCGATGACTGTCCCGCACTGGCTGTCCTGAAAATGCAAGAAAAAAAAAAAAAGGGTCATCAACTGGGGAAAATTCTCGGGATATCTGTGCGCCCTGCATACAGATAACAAGGAGCAGAAATCCCTGGAGGGGAAGCCCTCTATCTGTTCCCCATAGAACGGGCACCGCTGTGCTCTAGAGAGAGCACTTCATGCCAACTTAAAGCACCCAACGTCAAGGATCAAGTGAGGAGCTGCCTGCACCACATCCTTTCACCCCTTCCTCCCCGCTTTAAGTATAAATAGCTCTTGCTGCCGCAGCCCAGCACCTCCTGCCTTGTTCACATAAGGAGACAGCTACTTCAGTTGCTGCAGTAAGACAGCTGCTGCTTGTTCAGCACTTTGGCATTTGCATCCATTATAGCTTGGCTCCCAGAAACACCGTGTCGTGTTACTGTTTCACTT